GTGCCCCACGCCGCCACTGAGAGGAAGGCGGCCCAAAAGCGGAGGGCAAGGGGGCTCTTGCACCCGACTGCCCCCCGGGCTCCCCCCCCCAGCCGCGAGAGCGGGCCTGTTCCTCACACTCTGCAGCAGGCTCCTCCTCTGCGCCGCCATCTTGGAGGACCCCCCGGCGCGCCGGCCGCCTGGCGGATCAGCGAGAAGGCGGCTAGAGCGGCCTGAGCGCGGCGCGGAGGACCTCGCTGCCAGGGAGCATGCGCCGAGCGCCACCCACGGCAGAGGAGGGGCGGGGCCTCCGGGACCGTGTGCGCGCGCGTCGTCTTCCACTTCTCCGGTGGCATCCAAAGGGGCGGCGCAGAGTACCTTTTCGATTGTTATCTGGTTGCTTCACGCACGTTTATTTGCTCACTTTCTCCAGGATAGCGTTCAGATGAGGATCATAAAACCCCCAGATTACGGTTCTTTATGAACTCGATGGGGGCGAGGGAGGGTGAATTATTTGTTCATTCACTCACTGAGTGACCTAGCCTGGTCCTTTAGTAGATGGAGCCGAGCAAGACCTACCATTTAAATACAGAAGACATTCCAAGAGGTCTTAAATGCTAAGAGAAGTTTCAGGAAGGTGGCATGGGGACATGACGAAACTGGCCACGGAGAAGAGGGGACAGACAGTGCAAAAGGCTCACGGAAAAGGAGCATGTGTGTTAGAGAAGAATGCATGCCACACACACACACACAAAAAAGCAGCATCATGTCACCAGTCGTCAAAGGGAACGTTCTACCAGTGGGACCTTGTCAATATCTTGTGAGGAAACGCATTGCCTCCTAAGCAAGACATTGTCATGGTCTTATTGGTAGAAAGATCCCTTTGACTACCATAAACAGAACAGAGTTTTAGGGAGATTGGCAAGGAGACATGGAAGACATAGTCCCCCAATTAAGGGACTATGGTAATAAATAATTCTTGGCAAGAGATAACGTGGTTGAGTTGGCTGATGGCAGTGAGTGGATATTTTTTAGGAGATGAAATTGTCAGAGCTTTATCATGGACTGCTGGTGGGTGGTGATGGGAAGAAATGTGTCAAAGATTCTCTCAGATTTCTGGCAAGAAAGCTTGGTTTGGAGAGAGGGAGATGTGAATGATTGTGAGTTCAGATTGGACATGTTGAGTTTGAGGTGTTTTTGAGACATGCAAGAAATATCAAGTCGCTCGTTAGAGAAAGACTAGAGCTTGGAGAGGGGCCGAGCCTGCACAGACGAGGGAGCATGGAATCTAAGGAGATGTCTAAGGAGGAGGTGGGCAAGTGTGAGATGCTTTTGAGAGCTCTCTTTAGAACACAACTGAATTAAGCCCAGCAGATTTAGAAGCTCAGAGGCCGTTGGCCCAGGTAGTTCCGGAGGAATGGTAGGACAGACTTCCAAAGGGGGCTAGTTTAGGCGTGGCTGGGAAATCGAGACATGGAGAGTTCCAGGAAAAGTAATTCTTCCCAGTTGCTGTACTGTGCAGAGCAGGAGACAGAGAAGAGAATGGAGGTTTGAGGGAGGGTTTCTCTTTTAGTTTGGGAGAAACTTGAGCCTGTGTAAATGCTGGAAGGAAGACTTGACAGAAAAGAGCTGAGGGTTCGAAGGGGAGGCTGAAGGTAGTCTAGGCCCTGTTATCTTGCCGTCCAACCAAGGTACTTCACATGGCCCAAGATGACTCTGTAGACTTGAGCTATTTCATCCAAGTTCAGGCAGCAGGAAAGAGTAAGGCAGGAAGACAGCAATTTTTCCCACGCGTGCACACATACTTTTTTAAATTAAATAAACATTTATTTGCAAGCAATCTCTCTTCCCCTTTAAGGCCTTCAGAGGTTCCATATGGCATTTAAAAAAAATAATTATTTATTTAATTTTATTTATTCATTCATGTGTAATTTGATAGACACACAAAGAGAGAGGAGAAGTGAGAAGGCAAGCCGCCAGGACTCGAACCCTGGTCTGCCATGTGGGAGTGTCCAGCACCTTAACCATCATGCCATCTGCTAGACTCCCCATACATCTCATTGGCTGTAACCTAGCCCCATGGCCACATCTAGCTACAAGGGAGGTCTGGAAATGTAGGTTTTAGGCTGAGTGACAATGTGTCCAACAAGTGGGTTGATTTTTTTTTTTTTTTGAGAGGTTTCTGCTACAGGGCGCGTGCGTTCGCCAGACAGACAGAGAGAGACAGAGAGACAGAAAGCAAGAAATCACCCCCCAGGGAGGATGGTCATGCCAAAATCCCTTCTCCTCCATTCTCCTCTCAGGATCTTGGGCACGCATGCACACACGCCTGATGTGAGTTTAAGCCACTGGGACCGGGACTCGAACCGTGGTCGACTACATGGGAATCCAGCTACATAGCCATTACACCAACTGCTGGTCCCACACCAGTGGGTTTTTACTAAAGGATTGATAAATAGATTCCAAGAGACAGAGTGGTCTCTGCTGTGAAGGGGACAAAAGGGACTAGGTTTGTCTGTGGGGAGTAAGTCTGGAAAGAATCAAGACTGGGAGCCCAACCCAGCTGTATGGGCTGTCACCTGTGTGACCTTGGACAAGCCACCTCTGTTCCCTAAGACTTAATGTCCTCCTCTATAAAACAGGAGTGACAATCTACTTAGCAGAATGGCTTCCAGGATTGAATGAGATGCAGTTAAATGACCCAACCTGTAGTATGGGCTGACGTTTTTTACATTCAGATTACAGCTTAATTTTTATCATTTTTATTTACTTACTTACTTAATTATTTTGCCCGTGGGTATGTGTGCTCCCAAGAGAGAGAAAGAGGAGAGGAGAAAGCCCCCCCCCCCAAATAAGGCATGGTCATGCTGCAATCCCTTCCCCTCCATTTCTCCATTCTGTTGGGAGTTGGGGCATGCGCATGTGTCCAGCTTGGTTTTGAAGTCCCAGGATTCAGGACTCGAATTGCGCAGTCAGCTGCCTAACCACCAGGCCGTGGAGCTAACCCTACAACTTTATTGATTTACTTATTTTTAAATTCGCTATAGAACACTTGTATTTGCTTGAGAGACAGAGAGAAAGAGAGAGAGGGAAAGTGAGAAAGCACCCCCCGGGGGGAACCAGCAGTTAGCGTAATGGCTATGTCGCCGGACTCCCACGTAGTCAACCACGGTTCACGTCCCGAACCCGGTGGCTTAAACTCATGCCGGGTGCATGTGCGTGCGTGCCCAAGATCCCGAGAGGAGAATGGAGAAAGGATTGCGGCGTGGCCATCTCGCCTTCTGTCTCTCTGTCTCTCTCTGTCTGTCTGGCGAGCGCACGCGCCCTATAGCAAAACCCTCTCCAAAAAAAAAAGAAGAAAAGAAAAGAAAGCACCCCCTGGGGTGGGGTATGACCATGCTGCTGTCTCTCCTCCTTCATTATCCTTTCGGGATTCTGGACATGTGTGCACATGTGCCTAGCATGTTTCTCAAGCTGCCAGGTCCAGGACTCGACCTGTGCAGTTGGCCATGTGATATTAAGCTGCATTAACTTCCATACCACTGGCTGGCCCCTACGACTTAATTTTAACAATATATGTAGTAACCACACACGGAGTACATACTGTGTATTGGGCACTTACTGGGTGCTTTCTTATCTTACACTTAATTATTTCTCACTCTAACCTCATTAGGTAGGTATTATAATCATCTTTTTTAAGGAAAAAAATGTAAAGCTATTTAGTTAATTTATTTATTACTATTATTATTCAATTTGACCAGAGAGAGGATAGGGAGAGAGAGAAAGCAAGTTACCAGATCTGGGACCTGAACCATGTTAGGCCATGTGGGAGTCCTGCACCCTAACCACCAACCCACCATCCTTGTTTTATAAAGCAGGAATTCAGTGAGTTAACTAAAAGAGAGATGCCAGGATTTGAACCCAGGTGTCCTGACTTCAGGCTTGCCCAGCCGTTCTGCGAGGTTAGGTAGATGCCAAGGCCCTCAGAAGCTCAGCCTCCATGGAAGTGCTTATGGATTCCCAGGCACTGCGTCGTTTCCTGTCACCGTCTTTGGCGTGTGCTCCCTCTGCCTGGATGCCTTTCCCACTTTTGACCTCCTGGCGAACTTCTACTCAGCATTCAAGGCTCTTAATTAATGACATTTCTTCTAAGAAAAAAAATTTTCGGTTGCCACTGTGAGAATAACACCCTCAATCATTTTTTTTTATTTTTTTATTACTCAGAAGAGTGTCATTTTTTATTTAGCTTTCTGACTCTGTGCTTGTGCCTTCAAGACTTTCAGACGATTTTCGGCTCCTCTGTAAGGAAAGCACGCTTGATCCGGCCGCGGATGCATTTTGCG